TCCACACCCAGCCACAGCCATCAGAGCCTGTTTATAGCCTGAGAAAATAAAATAATTGTCATTTTTCCTGAAATACTTGACAGTGTAGTACTGCTCCTGCCCAATATAATGACCTTTAATAATTGATTCAAAGCAGAAAAGGTTTGCACAGAAACATCAGAGAAACAACTATGGTGTATTTATTCTTTCATTAAAATATATTTAAATAATACTTTAAAAACACAGTTCATGACTTCTTACACATACTTGCACACCAAGGTCTTGGACCGCTCCAGACCCTGTTGACCCCACAGGTAACAACTGGCGAGCCTATCATCAGGAAGCTTGCATAGCATTTAAACTGACAGGTTGAGTTGAATGTCTGGTTTCCTCCCGAGCAGCTAAGGTATCCGTTATCAGGCCGAGACAGAGGGGGACATTCCACAGCTAGGGGCACAAACAGGTTAAGCTTTACTAGGGATACAGTTATGTAATGTCTTATGCTAGCTCTCTATTGTGAATAAGCCATTTTTAGTGCACATACATGCTGATGCAAGTCATTTGATCAGTATTTTGAATAATCCTCAGCCTGACCTCAGGAAACAGAGGAAACAGATGCAGGGCTTATAATGACAATGTTAAAAGTCTGTCAAAAAATTAAATTTAAATTCTGTGAAATATGCAGAGGATATTCTGTGGAAGGAGATAGTTGAATCCATCAGAATGTGAGTTTGTGATAAGATATTGAATAAACTACAGTCTGACACTGTGTGACACCTGACCTTGCTGACCACAGTAGTTTTCCTTCCTCCTTTCCATTTCCTTGGAGTCGTGTTTGTGTCTATCCTATCCAGTCCAATACTCACTCATCTTTTAACTTTATATTTGGTCTCTGCAAACTCTTGAGGGAAAAATATGTCTCTGTAGTGCTAAATGCTGCACTATGCTCGTCAATAGTTGCAAACTTTGTCTGTTTGCAGGACTTAAACCAAAACCAGTTTGCAAAACCCTGCCAAGAATTTTCAGTGTCAAATCTGCTGCCTTTATCATTGTAAACTGTTAAATTACAGCAACCAAAGACTGTTTCGATGTACATATGGGCATGTGAGAATTGTTTTACCCAGGCAAGATGGTATATCTGCACTCCACATGCCCAAGGAGTTGCACTCAGTGCTAGCTGTCCCATTCAGTACAAAGCCCTCATCACAGGTTGTTGTGCACCGAGAACCGAAACTGAAGGAACCATTTGGGTCAGAACAGGACATGGAGCCATGAGTGGAATTTATTGGATCACATCTCTTAGCTTGAAGACAAACAGAAACCAGGGAGAGATCAGCTACACACACAATAAACATACAGAATAATAAAACAGAGTTGAATGCTCACTTTAAGATGCCGCAATGAGAACCGACTGTTTGGCATTTATTTTGATTAGAGTTCATACAATTAGTCCTCACCAGTTTGGCACCTGTCTCCCTCAAAGCCAGGTTCACAGAGGCAGGTCGTGTTTTTTATGGTCTCCTGGCATCTTCCTCTGCTACATGATGTTGTATTACATTGGGCTGTTAAGAAAAATGCAATACTTAAACAAACTACTAATTTTGAAACTCTAATAACCTTGAAAAAACAAGCAGCTTTACATACCTCTGTAACAAACAGGAAATTTTTTGTTAGCACATTTCTCGTCGTTCCACTTCCCTCTATTTTTTCCGTCATTCAAGTAGATTTCCACGCAAAACTCTGTTTCATCGTTGTTGTTGGGCTCGTTTTCTGCCCACGACTGATTACCAATCCACGTGCTGTTATTCCCAACCCAGGTCCAAGTTTCATTCTTGTGTTTTTTTGTGATACCGATCCAATAATATGGACTACCAGTTTTGTTTGGCAGGAATGAGACCAGATAGTTATTCTCTTCCTGGCTTTGGATGACCACCATTTCTGTGTACTTGTCCCGGCAGAACTTTCGGGCCTCGGTCCAGTTCATGGTGGTGTTTGAGTAATGATATGTCCAACCCAAGGTCATCTCAGCCAAGGTGCTACCTAATAAGAAAAGGTTAAGGACAACTCCAGTGTGATATTTCATCATCAGTTGTTAAAGAGCTCATGAGCAGTGTTACATCTCACATCAGGAGATACCAGCAGTTATATTTTTTTAAAATTAATACTCACCAAGCAGGAGGATTAATGTCCACTTCATTTTCAGTGAGTGACCTACAAACACCCGTTGTCTGTCCAAAAAACAAATAATCAGAAGACTTGCTTACTTACCCAGAATTAATATTTTAATATATAAACAATGTATTTTCTAAATTGTAAAAAACTTGCTACGTATTTCAAATCCTTCTAATCTTATCAAACATAAAACATTATTCCACAGCAGCACAGTAAGTGAATGTTAGTTTGCTGCAAGTAGGGACCAGTTTCAAGCTTTTATATTTCTCTTAGGCTATTCAGCCAAACATTATCATATAATACCTGGATGTTTACTGTGCAAAGTGAATGAATGTGATGACAGAATGACCTTTTGGGAAATTCCACCTGTTCCTGGTAAAAGTAGGGTCAGAGGCAGATTTTTCAGCCATGCATAGAAAAAACATATCTATAAACAGGAAGCAATAAACACATAAATTAACCAAAAGCACAGTTAGGGTCACCATTGAGTCTTGGAGTTCCCCCAAAAATGTATAATGGGGCAACGTTTTCCATTTCTTGCAATTAACTGCATGTTGCTGGTCCCTGCTTTTTTCTGGTGATCCTTTACAAACTTTACAAACTACAATTTATACAAACTGGTTAGCCTACTGTACACTGCACCATGGAATGAAACCTTTCCCTTGTTACTAGAATAAACATATGTCAGTATCCTAGATGACAGTTTTTAGTGACACTACATCTTTGCATTCTGACATGCTGTGAATTCAAGTTTTTAACAGCATCAAATTACAGAGAGACGGAGGGCCCACGCTGTCTGATGTTAGATATCAGATTTTGGTTCTGCTGAAGTGCTGACATAGAATATTTTGATGAAACAAACAATTGTGTGTAGAACATATTACCCCAGCAGTAGCCTTTCCCTTCCATGCGTCTCACTGTTATTTAACTATTCACCTCTGACTCTACCATTGTAATGGAGGTCACAGAAACAAATGAGAGGTCTGTACTGTATTTGGAAAAATTTTATTTTTGAACATCTGAAAAAACACACGATGTACTGCAATGTCAGCATAAATGTCCCAGTTCAAAGTGTGGGAACAAGTTGGTGCGTGTGTGGAGCTTAAGCCTGAACCTCAGTGTACCAGTGTAGTGACATGACTAACAACATACAGTGGGTACAGAAAGTATTCAGACCCCTTTAAATTTTTCACTCTTTGTTTTATTGCAGCCATTTGCTAAAATCAAAAAAGTTCATTTTATTTCTCATTAATGTACACTCAGCACCCCATCTTGACAGAAAAAAACAGAAATGTAGACATTTTTGCAAATTTATTAAAAAAGAAAAACTGAAATATCACATGGTCATAAGTATTCAGACCCTTTGCTGTGACACTCATATTTAACTCACATGCTGTCCATTTCTTCTGATCCTCCTTGAGATGGTCCTGCTCCTTCATTGGAGTCTAGCTGTGTTTAATTAAACTGATTGGACTTGATTAGGAAAGGCACACACCTGTCTATATAAGACCTTACAGCTTACAGTGCATGTCAGAGCAAATGAGAATCATGAGGTCGAAGGAACTGCCCAAGGAGCTCAGAGACAGAATTGTGGCAAGGCACAGATCTGGCCAAGGTTACAAAAGAATTTCTGCAGCACTCAAGGTTCCTAAGAGCACAGTGGCCTCCATAATCCTTAAATGGAAGAAGTTTGGGACGACCAGAACTCTTCCTAGACCTGGCCGTCCAGCCAAACTGAGCAATCGTGGGAGAAGAGCCTTGTTGAGAGAGGTAAAGAAGAACCCAAAGATCACTGTGGCTGAGCTCCAGAGATGCAGTAGGGAGATGGGAGAAAGTTCCACAAAGTCAACTATCACTGCAGCCCTCCCCCAGTCGGGGCTTTATGGCAGAGTGGCCCGACGGAAGCCTCTCCTCAGTGCAAGACATATGAAAGCCCGCATAGAGTTTGCCAAAAAACACATGGACTCCCAGACTATGAGAAATAAGATTCTCTGGTCTGAGACCAAGATTGAACTTTTTGGCGTTAATTCTAAGCGGTATGTGTGGAGAAAACCAGGCACTGCTCATCACCTGCCCAATACAATCCCAACAGTGAAACATGGTGGTGGCAGTATCAGGCTATGGGGATGTTTTTCAGCTGCAGGGACAGGACGACTGGTTGCAATTGAAGGAAAGATGAATGCGGCCAAGTACAGAGATATCCTGGAAGAAAACCTCTTCCAGAGTGCTCAGGACCTCAGACTTGGCCGAAGGTTCACCTTCCAACAAGACAATAACCCTAAGCACACAGCTAAAATAACAAAGGAGTGGCTTCGGAACAACTCTGTGACCATTCTTGACTGGCCCAGCCAGAGCCCTGACCTAAACCCAATTGAGCATCTCTGGAGAGATCTGAAAATGGCTGTCCACCAACGTTCAGCATCCAACCTGATAGAACTGGAGAGGATCTGCAAGGAAGAATGGCAGAGGATCCCCAAATCCAGGTGTGAAAAACTTGTTGCATCATTCCCAAGAAGACTCATGGCTGTAGTAGCTCAAAAGTGTGCTTCTACTCAATACTGAGCAAAGGGTCTGAATACTTATGACCATGTGATATTTCAGTTTTTCTTTTTTAATAAATTTGCAAAAATTTCTAGATTTCTGTTTTTTTCTGTCAAGATGGGGTGCTGTGTGTTCATTAATGAGAAATAAAATGAACTTTTTTGATTTTAGCAAATGGCTGCAACGAAACAAAGAGTGAAAAATTTAAAGGGGTCTGAATACTTTCTGTACCCACTGTATATATATTTTTAATTGACAGTTGATATTCATCATGATATTGGAAGATGCATAAAAAGACCAAAAGTAAATGACGGCTTGAAGTTTTATTATGAATGAATAAACATCAGCACAGCTTTAAAAATACAGAAATATGAATAAACAAATGCAATAAATAGTACATAAATACAGAAATCAATTTAGTGACATTATTCACAGTTTTGCAATGACGTGGCAATCCATCCACAAGGTTATGTAACATTTACAATAACTTGAATAGAGTCACCTTTCCAGCATGCTCATAAAGCTATAGAACAACATGTTCAATATAAAACTCCCCTGGGGAGGAAATACAAGTCTGAACAACATTACGGAGTAAATTGTGAAATTCAATGATAAAATTCAACAAACTAGAATACAACAATCAAATGCAAAAGTCTGAAGAAACCATTCCTCTTACTATTGATACAGCTGATATATTGGTTTGTCCTGTTAACAAGTTATATACTAATGTATGTTTTTCATATTGTTCACATTACTATGACTGCTAATTCACATACAGTTATGTTAAAGATATATATAGTTGTCCTTAGTTGTCTCTGAAGTATATGATTGTGCTCTATATGAGGCTGTCACTGCTGTTTTTGTAGACCTGTGGAGGGGCCTCTATGTCAGAGTTGCTGTAAGAAAAGACAAAAGCAGAAGATGAGCACTGATATTCAACAAAAAAAAAAAAGCAAATGTGTTATGTAAGAGAGATGAATGCTTGTCTAACCTGTTCAGCTCAAACTTGGTGGCTTTCTTTTTCAGTCGTTTCAGCATCCACATAGCCACAGACAGACCAGATAATGACAGAGCGCCCCCTCCTGCCAAACCAGAAGCAATGGCAGTAATCTGAGATGGGGCAGCTGTGGAAACATAACCAAAAGTTAATCATCTGAACTTTTAAACTCAAACATGTATTTTAATCTTGTATTGTATTTATATTTCACCTAAAACTTTATCATTATTTTTGTTTTACCTTGGCAGGTGGGTTTCTCTTCCGTCCAATTGCCATGATGGTCACAGGTCAGCAGCTCATGTCCTTCTAACGAATAATCTTGATTGCATGTAAAGGAGCACTGTGAGTTGTACACCGGGTCTCTATCTGCTCTATCTGAGCAGTTGATATGACCGTTTTCAGGAGCCTCAAGCAAAGGGCATCTCACAGCTGTGTGAAAAGATAGTGAGAATATAGATGTTAACCGTCAGATATTAATAGAAAACATAAATTTTTTGTGACACAACACTAACATACTACCTCAAAACCTACAAATAAAGTAGGTATCACAAATAGTGCAGGTGAAATGGGCATGTGTGTACCTGTGCAGGTTGGTGGTGTAGAGCTCCACTGGCCCGGATTTGCACACTCCATGATGTGTGCACCTTGCAGCTCATGGCCTTCTTCACAGCGAAAATTGCAGACCATACCAAGTGGATGGGGGGTGGCAGTAGGTGAAGAAGTGCTGCAGCTAATCTGGACATTTGTTGGAATCTCAAGAGCAGGACATCCTATTGCTAAAAAATACAAAATAAAAAAATTATGAAATGTCACAACAAAAAATCTGATTACAAATAGACTGTGAAAATGTAGTAAGCAAGTAGTGTTGTGAGCATAGATGTATGTCTTCAATACCTTTGCAGGTAGGTATGGCTTCACTCCACTGTCCGTCCTCAGAACACTTAATGATGCGTGCTCCATGTAGTTCAAAGCCTGCTTCACAGCTGCACCTGCAGTCGGCGTTTGGTCGCAAATCAGTCAAAGGTTGGCTGCACTGGGAAATCAGGTGAGCTTCTCCGTCTGGGTTCTGGCAAGTGATAGCTAATACAAAGAAAATAAGTTTTAAAAAATGTTTTTCACAAAAGTACAAAACAAGAAAGCTCTTCTTAAATAGAAGGTGGTTGGAATAGACTTGCACCCTCACCTTCACAGCGAGGCATTTTCTCGCTCCACTCTGCAGACGTGCATGTCACACTGCTCGGGCCCACTAGGCGGTAGCCGGCGGCACAGCTGAAGCTGCAGGTGTTTCCGTAGCTGAACCTCATGCCTGCATCGTCTCCACAGCTGGCAACACCATTCTGTAGCTCCTGGAGAGCGGGGCACTGGACAGCTGTAAATCAGAGAGAGGGACAGAAGAGGTCAACAGTAGCCTTTTTAAAAAGACCCATCAAATCAGCTTTTCCCGCATAATACGCAAACACAAATTAACGTTAATATAATGGATACTATAAAATCTTACAAGGTGGAAACATAAAAATGTGGGCGTACCTTCACAAGACGGTTGTGAGGAATTCCAAATTCCTGACGCTTCACATTGGAGAGTGTTAGATGGGGAACCAGTGAGAACAAAGCCTTCATCACAGGTGAACACACAGGTGGACTGGTAGCTGGCGGAGCCCAGAGGATCTGAGCACTTAATGGACCCTCTTGCTGGACTAGACAGCTCCTGACACTTAACCACTGTGGACCATAAAAAACACATTACAGGAGGCTCCATCACTGTGATAGTAAGTTACTTGAAATCAAATTAATTTAAGTCAGTATCACATCACTTCTTTTATTCATATTTTGCAGATTTGCAATACACCTCAACTCACGTTCACATGTAGGAGGCTGCTCTGACCACTCTTTCGAGGCAGTGCAGGTCAGCTGTCTTGGGTTACTCAGCTGGTATCCCTTCTCGCAGGAATACTGGCACAAGGAGTCGTAGGAGAAGTCGCCATACTTATGAGTGCAATTTACACTTCCTTTATATGGAGGGGTCTCCACCTCCTCTTTGTTGCACTTAACAACTGCCAACAATGAAAACAAGACACAGTTAGATATCAGGTCCTAGGTGTAAGTGACTTAAAGTAATGTAAGCTTGAAAGAAGCACAATATCAGTGTTTTTTCTTACCTTGCTCACACTTCTCTCCATAGAAGCCTTCAAAGCAAGCGCACCTGTGGCTGTTGATGGTTTCTACACATTCTCCATAGAGGCACAAGTCATTCTTACAGGCAGCTGGGGGAAAGAAGAAGTGCTTTTATTCAGCTTGCATAAAATATAATAACTGTCAAAACATCATAAATACATAATTTAATATAGTGAAATAAAGATATTCCCTAATAAACAAGAATACCAAAACTAAGGCAGCTAAAATAACACATATATATATATATATATATATATCCTAATCCATAACTTTTGCTCACCTGTGTAGCACAGAGCGGTCTTCGGCTTCGTACACCTCTCATCATTCCACTTGCCTGGTTGTAACTCCCTTTTAATGTACATCTCCACACAATCCTCATTCACCCCCGTACTTTGACCACTTTTGCCATTGTTTGGTTCGCCCTTTGCCCAGTTGGTTGCTTCTTCTGTCAGAGCCTTGTTGGTCCCTACCCAGGTCCAGGTGTTATTTATCTTGCGGATCCCAATCCAGTAGTAGGTTCGTTTTCTGGGCAGCCAGCTGTTGAGATGTGCAATCTCCTCCTGGTTCTGGATAGCCACCATGTCTGTGTAGTGGTCCTTACACCAGACTCTAGCTTGCTGCCAAGTCATGGTGTTGTTGGAGTAGAAGTAGGACCAGCACTCTACACTAGTCCACATGCACAGCACTGAGGATGGAGCACAAAGACACATTTAGATGGCATGGTAATAAGGATGATTTTTTTTTTTTCATATCTAGAAAAAAAGGTTCTGTTAGCATTAGATTTACATACTTGAACAAAGAAAGGTCAAGCTGATCCATGAGGCAGATGTCTTAGAACCACGGGTCTGAAGTATTTCAAAGCAGAACTGTAAAAATCAAGGAAAAAAATATGAATTAAGATAAACTGGATCCTACGTGCATCTCTGATCACAAGCAAACAGTAAAATTTGCACTTAAGCATGCATTTAAATCTATACCTCTACACTCACCATTTTAGTGATATGTGTGATAGCCTACAGAAGACCCTTGTAAGGATGAGTGTTGAGTTTTGGATGAGAGGTGCCTTTTATATGGTTGGTCAGCCTAGTTTAGTTTCCTGGAAACTCACCCCAGTCACGCTTTTCACTGGAAATCCCCACGCCCCCACCACTGCAGCCCCTTCCCACCGTCCTTGGAAAAAATTTCCCTCCCTCTATCTCACTTTGAAAAAAAAAAAATCCTTTGTTTTAAGTTTTTTTTTTTTTTTATTATTATTCATATAATTTGTGTGAAAAGGAATAGTGGAAAGAAAGCAAAAGTACTACAATTATAAGGAAGAAAGGGAAAGGGAAATATTGTTACTTTTACTTTTTACACTACACAACAAATACTACAATATACAAATAATTAATGAATTAATCTGAATTCAGTTAAATAGAATTTTTATCCAAAACATGATGAACTTATAAGATATTATGTCTTTGTTTTTAGATTGAACTACTCAGCAATATATAAAGTAGTTAGAAGTAGATCTGGTTCAGCCAGCTAGTACATTTAAATGCTGTTTACATTAATGTATAACTTTTAATAATTTGATTATATAAATTATATAATAATGTTAGACATTGAAAGGTGCCATTTTGCATTTACTTTTATAGAATTAGATCGTAATACTTCTGCACTTTGATTTAAATACAATTTTCAATGACTTTTACTTGTAATGAGTATTTTAGTTCTATTAGTACTTTTACTTAAGTAAAGGATCTAAATACTTGCCTAAATGGGCAGATGTACTGATAATGTACTAATGTGCCTAAAAATGTTGCAAATTATCTCACATAGGATTGACAAAGTAAAGCACGCCATAAGAAAGTGACAAGGTTTCCTGCTGAAAGCATGATAGCGCACATACTGATGCATGTATTACAGTGAAAGGTGACTAAGAAGGAAATTGTGGTTTTGGAAGCTGTGAACTCCTGTGAGCTGATAAGACTCTTATTTGGATTAGAACCTTTTAAGGATTTTTGCCCAAATGAAAGTGTTATCTTGGCAGCTCTAATGAGACCCTTTGTGTATGTAAAGCAATCTGGAGTAGTCTAAACTTCATGAGTGTGCATGTTGATTCATTGGTAAATATTAGTAATAGTACAATGTGCGCCAGTGGACAATCCATAGACTGGAACATGCTTTTCACAGTTAAAAATAAGTGAATTGACATGTCCTGTCAAAGAATGTACACATCAAAAGAAGAAATAGGGAACAAAACAATGCAATGGCATTTAACTAACACTTTACTGGTATTTTTTACGAGTGTCCAGGGACGGGAAATGTGCAGTGCATGAGCAGAGGCGCCTGCTGGCTGCCTGAGTTTGTAGAAGTGACAGTCTATATCCTTCCTGTCTGGAGAGTAGCCACTGTTGCTTGACACCTCTTAACCTCTAGCCCTTCCCCTAAAATGATTATATAAACTACCTAATTAGCTCATACAGAACAAAACCCAAGGGAGAAACTTAATTTCAGCTTTGATAAGAGAATCAGATGCGTATATAGATTTGTGCTCTCATCACAGTGAGCTGATTGTGGAATGGTCTTTATGCGAGACCCCTAGATCTATTCTTGCATTTCATCATGCATTAAGTACAGTGGGCTAGGGCAAAGAAACACTTAATGTGGTATCACCACAACTATGACATTAATGTAACTGTTATAGACTACTATATGCGTATATAACAATACAATGACTGTTACTGCATTTTGATTGCCCTTTGTTTTAACTACAGTTAATAACTATAGATAACATTTCAGGAGAAAAAGTAACATGTTTAGTCACCATAAATCACAGAAAATCAAAAGATTTAACTACACTGTCTACATTTGGCTTGATAAAGCAGGAAACTCCATCCCGAAAAAAGGTTTGTGACTGTCTCACGCACTTCTGAGATTTTATGGCTCCAAATTAAAAGCTGCAGGATGGTTAAAAATTGTAAAATTCATCCGCACACACACACACACACACACACACACACACACACATATATATATATATATATATATATATATATATATATATATATATATATATATATATGTATATACACACACACACACACACACACAGAGAGAGAAAACGTCCATCCTGCTGCCTGCTGAAGTGTTGTTTTGAACCAAAAACTGCATCCCAAACACCAGCTTCGGCTCTGACCTCTGACCTTCCACAGACACAGGAAAATCATCAACGGAAATTACATATCAAGTAGAAAGATAAAAGAAAATGTCTCCTGGGTGAAAAATGGGCCAACATTACCCACATTGTTGGTCTCTTCCCTTTCCACTGAATTTTGCTTAATGGCTCCACTGGTGCCAATCAACAGGATACCGGCTCCACAATCTCTGGGATTTGACAACTGTAAAATTCAAACAGTTCCCTCTTACTTCCATAGCGGGTCCCCAGCGTGCAGCTTTGTCGTCAATCATGCCTACAGCTTGCGAATGGCCTGTCTCTTTAAGACAGGAAATAGACGTCCCGGTTCAGATATAGGCATTTGTAAGGACGCACCATGTTGTCTGTCGTCGCTAGACCTCTGAGCAAAGCAGTCACTGGTGCCTTGAGTAAAGCTACGGTCGCAATGGCAGACGCTCTGGCTAAAGTCCCCGATGTGGAGATTGATCCAGAGGGAACCTATAAGTACATACTGGTCAGAGTGAAAGTCAAAGATGGCGATGTGCATAAAGACATAGTACGAGGCACAAAAAATGCAGAGTATCACAGTAAGTTCATTACTGTAGTTTGCTGCCGAGGTCCGTTTTAGTGCGTCAGTTCAGCTCGATATAACGCAGATGACTTAGGACAGTAATGTTGGTGCAGCATGGACTCATTTGACCCATGGTGCAACCTGCAGACGTGCATAAGTACTGCAAAGGCAATGCTTGCCAACCTTGTACCCTGTATTGTTTATTGCAAATATTGGAGGCAACAGCTTTAGAGGATTAGATGTGAGACTAATAATAAATTGCTCAACTTTCTAATTGCTTAAAATGTTTGTTTTTTTTTTTACTTCACTGTAACTAAACCACATTCTATGTTTTGACTGATGGAATGATTTGTATTATTTCCAGATCATATATTTGAGAAGGTCAGTCCAGCTATGGAGGCCCTGGGGATGGAGTGTAAATGCCTTGGTGGAGGGAAGATAGAGCACAACAGCCAAGAGAAAAAACTAAGGGTGTTTGGAGAATCAACTGTAAGTTCATTTGACTGGAAATGCATTCAAAGAAATGGAATCAAATACTCAGTAATATTTTAACCTGATCATGCAAATGCTTTCTCATTCATTTGCAGGCATTTGGTAAAGCAGACCATTCTGTGTCTGCAGAGAAGTTGAAGAGTGCCTTCAGTGACTATGAGATCACCTGGTCTGATGACAAAAAATAGGGTAGAAGAAAAGTGTAAACTTATTTAAAATGAGATGTGTCTTTATTTGTTAATACAAAAACTACATCATAATTGACCCTTCTGTACAACCATCATTTCATTCAAATACATCATTCTGCATTTAACTGCTTGTGTCTGATTCTGTGAAAACTGACTCCTTAAAAAAATATTTACACAAAGCTCTGCAGATGTTTTTTTTTTTTTTTTTTTAATTTAAAAATAATTTTGCCCTTAAACGGGATGTAGTATGAATTAGGATAGAATGATTCTTTATTTATTGTTGTTTGATTTACTTACAGAATTGAAGGCAGGTTGCCAAGCGTGAAGTCCATAGAGGAAGGGGAGAGTCTGTTGGAATCACTAACATATCCTGTTACTTTGAGGGAAAGTTTCTTGTTTAAATAACCAGAAAAAGATAAGAGAGGCTTTCATTTGTCGTCACGGGTATATGCTTTCATTTTTGTGTAATGCTAAACAATGATAAACTTCAAACTAAATTCCACAGTGCTTAACAAACAATATAAAATATTTAAAAAAAAGTTACAGAGGGATAAAATGGCCTGAGTGGAGACATACTTACAATTAATACACTTTTCCTCTCTTTTCATCTACATTTAGAATTCAAAACTTTTTTTCGTCTCTTTATGCATTATTTAAAACTAAAGTGAAAAGGTCAGGGGATCGCCAAAGTATCATCCTCTGGGGACCACGAATGTCTGTATAAAATGTCACAGTAATGCAATTAAGGTTGTCGTAGTATGTCAGTCTGTCAAAGTATAGCCGACCCATTGAGCATTTATTTGTAAAACGCAAATCCCACCAGAAAAAAAGAAGAAAAAACACTCTGGGTGTTCCTAATATGTTGGACACTTTCATCACTATGTGTGATCTATCCTGAAAGCAAGAAAACCAAAGTTCTACTCTGTATTGTTAGGAAGTGATGATACAGAGGCTACATTTTTAAAGGGCTGTCTTGATAGAATATCCAGTTTTGTCCTTCCTTTGGTCTTGTAAATCTATGTTATTCTATTAACCACACAATTAGTTACTTTATTCCTGTGAGATTCCATTATCTATATTACAAGAGTCTACATCCTTTTCCGCTGGACTTTCCCACAAGACTTTATTTTGAATGGTCCATGTTGTATTTCAGCAGTGGAGCACATTCTCGCCATCACTTTCCTTTTTTGTTTCTGACTCACCATTTACTGGTGGAAAAAACCCTAGAGGAAGATTAGCACATAACTCTGCAGACTGCATGAACAGAAATAACTGCTGTTGACACCGAAGAGAGCTCCTTTTACTTTAAACCCCATCAGTGGCCTTAACATAGACACCAATAGTGTGCCAGTTACCGTGTGACCTCAAAAAAAAAAAAAAAAAAAACCATCTTCCTTTTCATCCCAAATCCCGGAGCAGTTTCCTCTAAACTGATAACCTTTCTATTATCTACAAACAGGGAGGTCAGCACAGGAGGGAGAAATATTAGACTGTGTTAGAGTCACCGCTCTTCTTGGGAAATGCTTTAAATGTTACAGTAAAGGTTTAATGAAATTTCACATAAAACCAAACCGTAATCAGTCTGTGTCGTCATGTAATGGTTATAAAGGCAATTTCTATAATCCAGTTAGATGCCTTTGTCATAATCTTTACAATCCCATAGAACCTAACCCACACATTTTCTTTTATTTGTTTGAAATTACCTTTTATTGTACATTGTGTATTACTTTCGAAATACTCACATAATACATACTTTGGAAAATTAAAATGTATCTGATTTTTTGAAGATCTGTTGGTTCAGTTCAGATCTTTATTGTCCCTCAAGAGGAAATGTGATTTACAGTAGAGGTGATAGATTAGATTCATTTTAATTAATTCTAATCTATCTCATCTATTCTTTCAATTTTGTCTTACACAATATTTCTTATGTTATTATGATATTTTCTTATATTATGATGATGAAAATAACAGTTTACAATTGGAGAAGACAGACACAGTCCATCCTAAGATCAAGTGTCTGTGTTGTGGTGCACTTGGTCAAAATGCTGAAACACAGGAGATGCTGAACTTTGTCCTTCTTGTGGACAGGGCAAGAGAAAATAATTTTCTTTGGGAAGCAATAACAAATCTGAAACATGCTTTTAATGATCGATCTTGCAATAGCCAAACTACTGTATTTATTTTTTTGTATCAAAACCTGTTTTTTTATGTTGAGATTAAAAAAAATGAACTGGATGAATGAATCAGTTGTGTCTGATTGCTAAATCTGATTCAGTTTGAGGGGAAAATACCATATGTTTTCATATTTCCTTCCACGTGTACATAAACTGCAAGCAGTATTGCAATACACAGTATGTGTATAGAGATAAGCATCAATGTGGAGTCCTGTTTTATAAACAAGAAGTAGTCCCTTCCTGCAGCGACTGCAACTAACACCTCAGGCTGTTGGGAAACAAAGGTGTAGTCAAAGCGTGATAGTACTTCAGTGCTCAAGATCTTATCAGTGAAACAATAGCTCACCAGACACTGATTTTATGGAGTCAGTCAGGTCACAGCCAACTGAAATTCCAGGCTCCTAAAGGATAAATATCACCCCTTAACTGATTTAAATACAATATGAAAATCCCCAGTCATTGTCTGCCTATCTGCATGGTACCAGTAAGTATTAAAAATACCCTATATAAAATATGTATACTGTGTGTGGCAATTCATGAAATTGTGATTTCAAAATATTTATCCATTCTGTGCATCATTTTCCATTGGGTCACAATGGATTATGCAGTCTGTAGTGAATTTTTTTTTTTAAACGATGTATTTTGCTCAGTTTGAGAGGATGGATAAATAAATGACCTTGATCCTTGATAGAAAGGGACAGAACCAAAACCCATACAGGTCTTCACATATCCTAAAGACCCTCTACCTGCCTCAGTTGGCTATGTAAGCTTGACAAATCATTATAAAGTCATTATATGGATATATTTTGGTATATATTTCAATTAAATATATTAGACAAAATCAGTGTCAGTCCTTTTTATTACTTTTGTGTATTTGATCCTCATGAAAGTGTGACTGTTATGCCTCCTCATGTTCATTAATTAAGCCCAACTTTACTTTTAAACTCTTGTTGTTAAATTCTAAAGACACAAATAATAAAAACATATCTGTAATTGTAAGACCAACTCCTTTTTAAAAAAAAAAATAAATAAATAAATAAATATATATATATATATATATATATATATATATATATATATATATATATATATATATACGATAAGGAGATAACATGGTGACCATTATACTGTACTTTTGTGTGTTTTAACTGAACCCAGATTTGATTTTAATGCTTGACTTTTTATAATGGAGATCAACATTAGAATAAATCAACATGACAGAAATATCAAATTGTTGATGAATGCACTATATAGTGTTTGATAAATGTTCTGTCAGGAATGTTTCACATTGTGACTCTGCCCTGGAATTTATATTTTAATCATCAGTTTTCTTTAAGCAATGCCCTTTATTTTTTAATTACTATTCAACTGACACTTAATTAGTTACATACAATAGAAAATTTACTTTTTACAGGTAAATATTTATAGTATTAGTACGCATTTTAGGCTTGATTCCATACAAAATATGTACTTAATGTAATATGTATCACCTTTAATTTGATACCCGCAGCTTTATAGTGATAGTTGTTATTTTCAGCGCTTTGCAGCCGTTGAGTCCTCTGATTGGTTGAAAGTTTTGGCGTCTAACATCTCAACCAATCACAGTAAGGGTAGATGAGCCGCTTTGCTCCCAACGTCACATCCGACTCGGTCCAACGGCGCGCGGTACAGATCAACAAACTCCTCTTTTTCTGTTTAGTGGTTCACAAAAATGGTGGCGTTAAGAGAAACAAAGTCGTAGCAACGTCTGTGTGATTTTATGCTTCTGAAACAGAAGACACAGTGTAGCTTTTATGGTAAGAAGATAATATACATATTATCCACATTAACATTAACTACCACGCTAAAGTTAAATGTAAACGTTAGCTTTAGCAAAACACATTGACGTTAGCCTCGGCGACTTCTTAGTAACATCTGCTTTTTTAGACGAAAATACTGATTACGCTATCGTGCCAAACTGAGTCAGCTTGAGTGACTAACTCGGTGCCATTGTTGTAAAACTTTCTGTTTGGACAGTTGTCCTGACCTCTCCCGGCGACTGCTGTGATCATGTCCCAAACCAACACTTCTCTTCTGGACGAGGTGGTGCAGTGGAGTCAGGAAACCTGCCGCCAGGAGCTGAAGTCTGTCCTGCCTCAACTCACCATATCCTCTCAACTCACTCAGTTTCATTTCTGTGATACCATGGTTCATAGTTTCATACAAATGGTCCAGTGATATCAAACAAAAGCACAACATTTTGGAAAACATGGAATAAATAATACAGACTTTGGGAGTAGGTCTATCGTTTAAAATGCATATTATCTATAGAATTTATTTTTTAATGAGGCGGAGGCAATATGCCTGTTATTATGAATAATATTGAACACCAGTAGCTTCAAACCCTTTCAAGATGATATAGTATTGTCTTGGTCAAGCTGGGCACACGTTTGCGGTTTGCTTAAGCTATTCTATCATCATATTTTTTGCACTATTATTACAATCCTGATGTATTTGGTACACTTTATATAGGGGAAATTAATTTGCTTTAATGCTGTGGTTTTCCTTGACTGTTTGCACTCTTTGCATCACAAGTCTGAGAGTTGGGACGATCATATACGTAAGTTTCTTCATTGCACAATTTCCAATGGCAAACTGCTTACTTTGTGCCGTCAGTACTGTTTGTGATCCAAGTATGAACAGTCTTAAAAACATAACATCCCTACAGGTATACTGAAGATAATTACGGAAATGTTCCTCCCTCATGTTGCTTTGTCAGAGCTGGAGGCTGAGTGCTTCTCCAAGATCTTACCAAAGGTAAACAACATGACGAATGCATATTGTCTTTAGGACCTTTTATGTCAATACCTTCACAAGGATTTCTTAAATAACAGAGTTGCTGCAGGTCCTGGGAAATTTTCTAAACTTAGGGCCAATAAATATCTAAAACAGCATAATATTTAGTTATTTAA